CCAAGAACTAGGAATTGAGAGGTGAGAGTCTCCCAGAACCCAGGAATTGGAGAGTTTCCCAATACGCAGGGATTGGGTGGGACCCAGTCCCCCAGGAGGCTGGGATCCTGCACCCTTGTATTGAAATGCCTGCCCTAGGCCTCCTGGCTGTCCCACTAATGCCTCAAATTTAGCAAGTCTCCGACATCTCTTCTAACCCATTTATGGCCCCTCACCCTCCACCACAAGCCCCTGACCCCTTACTCTCCATTATAATGCTCCAATCAATTCCTAAGTCCTTTTCTTACCTACTAAATACTAAATATGCATAGCCTCTGTCACTTTCCATCCTCCCACACGGGTATCCAAACTCTCATCCTCTCCGGTCTGGATAAGGTTAGCTCCTCCTCCAGTCCCCACCCCCCATACACAAACTCTAGGGCCCCACTCACTAAACTTGTTTCCTTTCCCCAAGCAAGCTGGTCCTGGCTCTCTTTTGAATCTTGGCCTGCACTCTCTGCTCTGCCTGGGTCACTCCTCAGCTGACAGGTCCCTTTGGGGAAGCCCTCCCGGACTCCCGGACACATCCTTTGCCGGAGTCTCCATTAGGCCCCTCCTATCTTCTCCCACAGCACACTGCAGCTCTGCTTTTTTACTGTCTCCCCCACTGGACTGTAAGGTCCATCTCTTGTCCCCATAGCAACTAGTACATAATAGGTGTTCAGTAAAGACTTGTTGAATCAGTGTGTGAATTCTTAGCTTGCAAATCAGTCCCTGTCCACAAGCCGCCAACTCACTCCACCCAACAGGCTCACAGGCTTCATCATGGAGCCTCAGCTCTTCACAGGGCAGGGAAGGTGCAGTGGTGCTGTCCCAATGATTCCTCCAGCCTCACTTCCCCCTACTCCTGCCCTCACTTTATGCTCTTGTGACAAATAAGCGTTTGGTGCAGTTTCCAGCCTCCATAGCTTTGTCAGGCTGTACACAACGCTGCCCAGGAAGTTTCCCTGACACCACCACCACCACACCACGCATCAATCAGGGATCGTTTCTGGGCATTTTTTTTTTTTTTCCCCAAAGCCCCAGTAGATAGTTGTATATCATAGCTGCACATCCTTCTAGTTGCTGTATGTGGGACGCGGCCTCAGCATGGCCAGAGAAGCGGTGCGTCGGTGCGCGCCCAGGATCCGAACCAGGGCCGCCAGCAGCGGAGCACGCGCACTTAACCGCTAAGCCATGGGGCCGGCCCATGGGCATTCTTGAGATAGTCTGTGCATCCTCCATCAGGACACTTATCTGGAAATTAATTGAGGATTTATTCAACATTTACTGTGTCTTCTATGTACCAAATATTGTGCCAGATGTGAGAATATGAAAATTTTGATATGGTCCCTCCTCAAGCAGCTTTATCCAATAGTATTTTCAAATGATCCATTTTTGAGCTTTTCTCACCCTGTATTGTTGGCTCACCAGAACAGTGGCTGTGTTTAACCATTTCTGTATCTCAGTGCTACACAGTGTCTGCAGAGTAGGTGTGCAATAAATCAACTCGAGTGCAAGGGGGGTCTGGACCTCCAAGGGCCGAGGGCTGCGGTCACTGAAGCCTGGGGCAATGCCCTGGAGCTCCCCTATCCAGGCACACACAATTGTTTCTCTCCAAGGGGAAACCATTTGCTCTATAAGGTCTCCCCTTGGGCTTGCTTGGCCTCCTGAGACCCCGGGTACGCCCTGAGCCCTGAGCCCGTGGCAGCCTGGGGGCCTGCCCCCCTTGCACTCCGGTGCATTTTCAATCATTGTGCTCAGAGCATTCAAGGACCTCAGGAAGTTGTGGGTCCAAACCTCTCACAGGCTTTTCCAGCAAGATGCTCTTTCCTAGTTTTCTTTCCCAGTTTATGATGACCCATCAAAGATAGTTTGGGGACTGACAGATGGTGGCAGACAAAGGATCCCATGTGACCTTAAAGACTGGAACTCACTGTCTCCAGGCCCTGCCCTCTGCCCACTTTCCTTCCATCCAAGAATGGAATACAAATACAGTCCTAACTCTAGCTCTGGTCAACAAGGGCCGTCCAGGTTCTGGGTGAGCCTTCCTCTTCAGCCTCCCTTTCCTCCACGCATTCATTTATTCATTCATTCACTCATTCAGCAAACATGTGAGCTCTTCCTTCTCCTCCTATTTCAGGGCTCTGGGGATACAAGTCAGCCCCAATTCTGAGCCTCTGAGAGCTCAGAATTGCAGGAGGGCCTTCCCTGTCCAGGGGCTCCTCACCTGCTAGCCTCAGTGCCCAGCGCCTGGACAGGAGTCCCACGTGATGTTTTGTTGAAGGAACAGAAACACCCACAGAGCCACACCCATGGCACCAGCAGACTGGGATGCCCAAGCATTCCCCAGAGGGCTCCCCACATCCTGCTGCCCGCAAGAAATCTTCTGGAAACCACACATCATCACTTTAATACTGTGTAATACTTTCTTTTAAAATACAGTCTCTTCTGAGGTAGACAGACCACAACTGCAGAGCATCGTCAGACAGGAGATAAATACGTCCATGTACAACACGCAGCAAAATGAGGTAGAAATGGTTACAGCTGGAGGAGAGGACCCCAACCCTAATCTGGGTAGAGGAAGGAGAGGGCCAGCTTGCCGAGTCTGCCCTCCCCAATCCCTGCCCCTGGATTCTTTGGTATGCCCCCCCAACATTGCCAGAGCTGGACCTGCCCTTCCCCCACCCGCCCTAGTGCTCATGAGGTAGGTGCTAATAGACTGGGGGCTGTCTCCTTGTGCAAAGTCCCCCAAGGCCAGCAGAGGCGGCGGTGGGGGCCCTGGGTCTCAGTCAGTGAGCTCTTTCCCCCACCCCCAGAGCTGCCTGCCTCTTGAAGGGAAGGCTGGGATCCCAACCCCACTTCCCTGATGCCCTCCGCCACCCCCCACATACATACACACACCTGAGACAACCTCCTCACTCCCTGCTCCCTCTGAGAGCCTCTCACAGCCAAGACCCCGCGGCCCACTGCTTTTGAGGCATCGAGGCCATGCAATGAGCCAGCTCCAAGGAGAGGAGGGCCAGAGACCAAGGGGGAAAAGGGGGAAAAAGAGCAGCTTTCCTGTTCGCACTCCTAGGCCAGCACAGGCCCTCAGCACCTTGGCACCTGAAACGTGCCCCAGGAGCACCCTTCCAGCTGGCAGTGGGACTGGGAGTGGGAGAAGTACAGAGATGGCAGGAGCTGTAAGGGCTGCGAGGAACAGGGAAGGAGGCTGAGGTGGGAGAGAAGAGGCAGGGGTGAGGGCTGGTCCCTCCCCTCCTTTGGACCAAAGCTCAGAGTTGTGAAATAGGCTCCCTGAGAGGGAAGAGGGCAAACCGCTGAAGCCCCATCACGGGTAAGTCGGTGGGAAGAAGAATGTGATTCTCACAAGGAAGGGACCCCACGCCTGGGCTTCTGGTGGACAGTTTGGGTGGGACGGAGAATAAACCCCCAATGTCAAGGAGAACAGCCTGCCCATCTCCTTCACCCTCTCACAGCCCCTGGAGCTCAGACTTAGGACCCTAGGAAAATGGGAGAGACACATTCCCCACAGAACCTTTTCCTGTAATGGATGTGCACCCCCCGCCTCAGAGCCGTCCAGCAGACAGGGGAAACTGAGTCTGTGGTCAGTTTTGTGCCCAACCAGACTTGTGGCCAGACTGTCTGCCCTCCTGAGGGAATCCTCTTAGCATAAGTTATAGCAGACTTCTGCCTAGGCAAGGGCCAGTGAGATGACCTCTCTGGGTTCTTTCTGCCTGGGTCATCGTCCCATTTGGGCTTTCTCAGCCTACTTTCTGGGTCTGGGGCAGGAAGTGGGCAAGGGCACCCCAACTCTGGATAAACAATCCTTTACAGAAAACACTCAGCTGAAGGGTGGGGCCCATCGGGGAGAGCAGTAGGAAGAGAGCAAGACCTACCTTCTCTCAAATCCCACAACCCACGCCCCACACCTGCCTACAACCTTGGACCTGAGGAGGAAGCCCTAGAAATACATTCTGCTTCTGTCCCAGGAAGAGCAGGGGGTTAAGCGTGGCCTCTGGGTCCTCCTCTCCCCTTCCCTCAGTCTCTCACTTTCTGAGTCTTCTGGGAGAATCTGCTTCCCTGGGGGACAAGTCAGAGTAGGGGGACACAGGAGAGCAGCCAAAATCTAACATTCTTTCTGAGGTCAGTTTCTTCCTGAGTTGTCAAAATAAAAAGAAAAACAGCAAACTCTACACATCTTACAAAAATAAGAGACCTAAAATATTAAACAAGCTACATTTCTGGGATTTCCCCCTCAAAAACAAACAACAACAAAAAACCCTTCTTTGGGTGTTTTTTTTGTTTTCTTTTTTTTGTTTGTTTTTTTTTTGCTTGACCCTCTCAGACCCAAGGTTGCAGCTGGGTGAGGGATAACAGAGTGGGAGGGAACTCCTTACCCCCTCCTCCTCAGCCCCTGGACCTCCAGATCTCCTGCAAAGGGACACTGCAGTCTTTGAATGAGAGGGACAGAAGGCAGGGAGAGGAACCAAGACAGAGAGGGTGGAGAGCAAGGGATAGAGACAGAAGGACAGAGAGTGATGGATAGAGATGTGGGAGAGAGGAGCAAAACAGGGTCAGCATTACGGGGGCGACAGTCAGTGACAAAGCGAAGGGGAGAGAAAACTACGCGAATGCAGAGAAAGGGGAAGGGTGGGGGAGCCGTTCAGACAGCGAGGAGACAAAAGGCTTGTGGCGAGAGAGCAGGAGTTCCTTAGGCCCCGGATCTGCCGTCGCCGGGGCGGAGATGGCAAGCTTCCCGTCCACAATAAATAGGAAAAACCTGAGTACACAGCGCATATGGCATCTATCTGCCTAGCAGAAGCATTTTCCTTCCCACGACAAAAAATCCACCGGCAGCCCCTCCCCGCCCCCACCCCACATTCCGCACTCGGGCACCCTCCCAGCCCGGTTTGGTTCAAGACATCCTCCCACGCGGAGGGCACGGGGAGGGAGAGGCGGCGGCTCCCGCGGCCTCCCCGGCGCGCCGTCAGTGGCCGGAGCCGTACATTTTGTCCCACTCCACGAACGAGTCCAGGTCCTTGGGGGAGGCCCTAGGGCCCACCTTGGCCAGCGCCGCCTCCAAGTCCTTGTAGGAGAGGGGGCGCTGCAGGCCCGGGAGGCCCGCCCCTGCCGCCGCCTGCTGGCACAGCTGGCCCAGCTCGCCCCCGGAGAAGCCCTGCGTGCCCTGCACCAGGGCCGCCAACTCCCGCTCGCTTAGCGCGCAGCCCTGCTGGGCCAGCGCCCGCTGCAGGATCTGCCCGCGGGCCGCACCGTCGGGCAGCGCCACATAGAAGCGGAGAGCGAAGCGCCGGCGGGTGGCCTCGTCCAGAGCCGCGGGCCGCGACGTGGTGCCCACGACCAGCACGCCGTCGGCCCCC